CAGTATTAATTCTTTTAACTACTGCTCTAGCCTTCTATATATGGCGATTCTATGAAAACATTAAGTGCTATCCTAAAGGACCACCTCCATATCCATTTGTTGGGAATCTACTATCGGTTGGTAACTTTGAACTTTTCAAATTACAATTTGTTTCAGGTTGAGCTTATTTATTTACAGTTGGACTTCTTCAAAATACACGAGGAATTCGCTAAGTATACCAAGGAGTACGGTAGCATATTCACGGTCTATCTGCCTAAGCCTCATGTAGTTATTACGGATTTCGATGGTGTCAAAGAAGCATTTGTGAAAAAAGGTGAGATTTTACATTTGTATGCGAACTTTGCCCTTGGAAAGCGCTACATTGACTGTTTTCACCTGCGATAAGCAAACGCTCCCAGAACTTGGCAAACAACTCGTTGAAAATTTGTACAACGAGCTCCCTTATGATGTCTATTTCGCCGTCCCCTACTGGAACCGATAGTGACATTTTCTGTATTGAAAAGTCCGATGAGAAACCAAAGAATGAAATCTTCGGGATCTATCAATCCCGAAACATGCCCGAGTAAAGTGTTTGAGTGACTTTTGTCTTCCAGGGCTACGAATAAGAGGAATGAGATGAAACGACAGCCGAATAAAGTGCTGGTGAAAGTTCCTTCCCGGCTGTACAGCTTAAGCAGTAAAAAAGTTCCAACTCATCAACAGCTCGTTTTAAGAAAGTCTTCTTATTGGCTTACTTCATGGTCGATAAGAATCTATATCGGTATCTAAGGTTAATCTCCTTTATGGCATAATGAGTTGTCTAGTGAATGTAGAGGTTTGAGCTCTTACTCTGCCAAGATAAGGTCTGTCAGCAGAATAACTGATCTCGGGAGAATGTTACAAAAATTTCTGGAAAAAAAAAACAAAAATGAAAAGTTAAGGGAGCACCAAACTCTTTGTGTAGTCTCGCAAGACCACTCACTTACTTTGATACTTTCAATCTCGGTAGCAATAATATCTCCCAAAAGTACAACCATCACTTCTATTCAGTTCTTGGCTTTATGCTGAAAAAGTTTTTTGACAGTAAAAGGATATACTCGATTGAGCTCCCCTGCTAAAATTGCTTCTTTTAAATTGTATACTTTCAGGAGATGACTTCATTGGACGTTCCGGCATTTTTCCAGACACTTTATTCCAGAATGTTGAGAACGGCGGAGTAATTTTTTCGCAGGTGAGTATGGAATTTCATACTTTTTTTTGCGAAATTGTGGCCAATTCGAATTTTTTTTCATAAATTATTGTAGTGGCGCACCATCACACTCGCATGTTCACGGGTTCGAATCCCAGATTGATATTCATCTAGGTCAACCAGGCCTTTTATCGCTCCGGGGTCGCTTATTTGACACCAGGCCGTCTGAAAGAATGAAGCACTACTCGTACATCGGCTGGTCACGGCAAATTATCTTAGGGGCTACATTCGTATTCAATACACCACGACGATTCTGAACTGAAGTCGAGTGCGAAGCGATCCCACAGATGGCATTTCAACACCCCATGATTTTGTCCTTATCCTTTGTACACTACAAGAGCATTATAACATTTGCAGACGTGTTATGTAACTAATATAATTTTTCATTATTTATTAGTTATTATACATCATGGGCGGAGGTGGTGTAGTGGCAAGTGGCGCACTATATCACACGCACGGTCAGGGGTTCGAATCCCGGTTCGATGCCCGCCTGGACCAACCAAGCCTTCCATCCCTCCGGGGTCGGAGAATTGGTACCAGACTCGTCTGGGAGGATAAAAGCACAGACTTGTACATCGACTGGCCACCACAAGTCATTGCATAGGCCACATACGCACTCATTACGCCACTACGATTCTGAATGGAAGTCGGGTGCGGGGGCGCATTCCTCAGACGGGATTGATTAACGCCAAAAACTTTATCCTTCAAAACTTTATTATACATCATTATTATAAGTTGACTAACTAGTCATTGCTTTCGTTATTCAGGGCGAAAACTGGAGAGAACAGCGTCGAGCATCGCTACACATTCTCAGAGATTTTGGAATGGGAAAGAATTTGATGGAAGAACAGGTACTGACTTGGGTGTGTATGAAATAGAGAGTAATTGAGCGTAATACCTGTTGTCAGGTATATTTCTAAAAAGTCCAGCACGTCTGAGTATGGCATCTGAGAAGAAAATAAGAAAAA